AAAGTTACACAAATTCACCTTTCTTCAAATGTTCCCCATGCCATCAACGATGATTCGATGTTCTTCATCGCAGACTGGACTTTCTCCCACTCGTCATCCCAAGTATCTCTTAGCAATCTCATTTCTTTACGTATTTCATCTCGGCCTTCTATACTCAGACTAAGGTATATCACTTCACCTGCATCGATGACAGATGAAAGCTTTGGAGCGTTTTCTTCCTTTTTAACCATCAGGTCCTAAAGGAATTAAATAGATCTGTGGTTACAAACGCCAGTGCAATGAGTTTTTTCTCCAACTTTAAAGACAATGTTGCATCAAATACATTCAACATCAAACAATCAACTTTGCATCAGATATATTTCACATCAAGGCTAAAACTACTAAAATGAAACAATTCCCATCTCTGCAAACAAAAACATTATTTTAAGTATACTAATATTAGTTTTTCTAAAAAGTTAGTCTAATTGAATAAATCCAAAGGTGCAACGAAATTCTTGAACAGTCATTTAAATTTTTTGAAAAATATGCTGCAACAAAAAGTTACCAAACATTGAGATTTGATTTTAAAGAAATTAAATACCTTAATGTCCTAATACTTCTTTTAACACTTTTATTTTATTTGTATAACTTTTCTCGAAGCAGGGCTTTTAAATTCTAAAACTATGATAATTTCGTTAATAGATAGTTAAAACATGAAATGTCAAAGGCTATTGCTTTGCACAATTTGGTCAGTTTTGGAATTTAGTCTGACAAACTTCCTCATACCCTATATATTGTACTCTGCACATAATTTTTTTCAAAAAATTCTCAACATATATTGCAGAGTAAAATTTAGTTCAAAGACGAGTACGGAAAAATTACTTTAAAAAATTATTACAGCAACATCAAAACGGACTGCAACAAAAACAAAATATCGTGCAAACAAAAAAGGGAGCTTTATTAAACGTACCCACATCAAATGGTAGTATGGAATATGTACTATAGTTTTAAATCGATTATATGGTTTTGAGAAGAATAAATAGAAAAATTCTTTCGAACATGTACCTTTAGAAATTGCAATTTGGTTTGCAAAGTTTCTTTATCTCCAGATACATCTAGATTCGGTTGCAAAAGCTGATCCATCTCTACGAGCCAAGATTGAAGATTAGTTTTGGACAATTCATAATCTTTTTTAACTTGAAGAAGATTTTCCAACCTCTTTAAGGC